AATTCATTAAGAAATAAACTTACCAAAGGATGAGAAGTCCATTGTCGTAGGGGCACGTTTTGTGCGTATGACGTAAGACTGTAGACTCCGCCATTTTTTTATCGAGGATGAGAGAACGAAGGCAATGTAAAAAAAAAAAAGAGAAAAAGAAAACGGATGCAGCCCCTCCCGGTATTCGTAAAGAAGGAAGCAGATAGGCTGTTCGCGGAAGGGTAGGAGTCGTCGTAGGGGTTGCCGACTAGATCTGCATACGCCCACGCTCCTTGCCGTCTAAGATCCAACGCGCGTAAATCGTGGCTGCGCGAGGGGTCGAAGAAGTCGGAGGAGAACGTCAGAACGAAAGAGATAGATAGAAAGAGAGAAAGAGAGAGAGAGAGAGAGAGAGAGAGAGAGAGAGAGAGAGAGAGAGAGTAAGAAAGAAAGAGAAAAAGAAAGAAAGAAAGAAAGAGAAAGAGAGAGAAATAGAGGAAAAGAGAGATAGAGAGAAGAAGAGAGAAAGAGAGAGAAGAAAAGCTTCGAGAGAGAATCGTCGCGTTACTATCGACCAATCGTTGGCAGACCTGCGTACATCAGCGTGCCGCCTATAGGCCACCCCTAACCTGCCTCCAGCCTGCTGCCTCCTGCTTTTCTCCTACCTTCCTCCTTCCTCTCACCCTGGCCATATTGTAAAATATGGATCGCGGAGGTGTACAACACCCCACCTCGAAAGAGAGTGGCCGCTCACCCCTCAAGCTACGACCACCCCTTCTCTTTTTCTTCTCTTCCCTTTTCTACGACGCTCCCTCTCCTAACGTCTTTCTCTTTGGTTTTTCCTATTTTAGGAAGAAAATTTTTGCATGCTATTTTATTTATTTTCAAGTGTTATTACATGTAATATTTTATGTTATAGAATAATAGAATATATAAAGATCGAACTCATTAAAGAGTTGATAAGAATGAGATAACAAATATGTAGGCTTATTACAAAGTATCATCAACTCGTTCTAGTTATCTCGATTTCTTATCGAGCAGTCGCTGCTTGTTACAGAAATATATGCTTACGTACGCTCGGAATATTCAGCTTTGATAAGATTTATCAGGCGTGGCAATTGATGTAGATATATTTTGCAGTATGTCTTGAAAAAATGCGATACGCGGAAGAAGCTACGCAGTCGAATCACCTTCGATAAGAGACATGAGAAAGAGAGACAGAACGAAATACGTGATAAATTGATATAATGATAAAACATTTATTGAGATAAATTAGTGAAACTAATGCGTAAATGTTTATTCCCAAGTTTTGCCATCGTTATATTTGTTTCATTGGACTTTAATCGGCCAGATTTTATAACAGAAGAATCGTATTTCCATTAATCGAAGAAACGAAACGGAATTCTAGAGACTTCCGTATTTTCTAGGATGAAGAAAAAGTTAGCGAAGCGTGTATATAGACGAATACACCATGCAAAAGCTGCGTCATGGTTTATATAGCCTCGTAAAATTAGATCCGTGGAATTCAATGTCGGAACGAAAATTTAATCTCCCTTTTAATGACATTATAATGAAATATCGCAAAATATCGATTCGTTTCGTTCGTTCTTTGGTAATATCGTTGACTCTCATTGTATATATGAACGAGGGACGTACGTTTAACGACATCATGATGCTTTATTTCCTCATTTTCTAACATCGACGATATATTTTTCTCTTATTCTATTACTTTAACTAGTAGGTGCGTTATCAACGATAACTCCAACGAGAAAGACACGATAGGGAGAATGAAATTTACGCCATTTTTCCCGCTTCGAGAATTTACGGTGGCTGGCATAGATCCAGCCTCGTAATTTCTCCTTCGAAATAAACATCCGGATGAGATATCGCGATCTTATCGGATCAAAGTTATCGGCTCGATATCGGAACTCGTAATAACTATATTTACACGACTACCGATAACTCGTAAGAGATGTGACTGTTTTAAATGTCGATAACATGATACATGTAATACTTATATTGAAAAGAAAAGTAACGAATAAATACATTAAAAAGAAATCTAATTACTTTCGCTCATTATTAAAATCGTTAGAATAGATCTAATGGGGGATAATCTTAATATACAGCGTCAACTCATGACTTCATTGCAAAATAAGTATCTTCACGTGAGTGAAAAATGATGGTGTTTAATAACACGTTAGTTCCTCGCGCCTGTTAAGAATTATAAAACGATTACCATATTTCACTGCGTCCCTCTGAGTTTCGTTTCTTATTCGATCTAACACGAAAGCATCCCCTTAATCGTATATCTCGATCCCTTTCCCTTTCTTTTCTCTATTTCTTTCTCGTCCATGGAGTTAGAGGGATGTACTCGAGATTCTCTTGAATGAGGTCGAAAAGGTCGAGATGTGAAATATTCGCGTTGATGAAAGACTTGAAAACGTTTCTCAACGTATTCGTTAAGTATACGATAGATCTTAAAAGAAGTTGAAAAAAAAAGAAAAAGAAGGTAGATATCTATTGAAACAATTACATGCCAGTTATCGATATAAATCTCAGATTTTCAAAGCTTAAGTGACAGGGATGAGCATTAATCTAGTCCCTTATCAGTAGAATCACGACACCTATCTCTTTCGTGCTCTAACGAGCAGGCATTATGCCAACAACCAGTTTGTTCGTATGTTTTATCTCACTCTCAAATATTTTTCATCTCGCTTTCATCCAAAAGCAATAAACTTTCTTATACATATTGTTTGTGACTCTACTCTATTCGAGAATGGAAAAAAGAAAAAATGTAAGAATATTACGAATAGAGAAGGGTACGAAGGTCGATGAATAATAATCGCGAATCGTGAGAGAACCGAGGTCCAGTGGCATTGCCGAAACATTTCGACAAATGCGAGCAATTTTCAACGGAGCATCTCCTTTCAAGGAGGCCGTATATCTCGAAGCGGAGGCGAGCAGGCGTATCCATGAGTTCGCGTAGTCGTGTAGAGTGGTAAGAAGAAAGGACAAGTCTCGAGGGGTGGTTGCTATCTTTGAGAGCGAGAGAAACAGAGAGAAAGAGAAAGAGGGAGAGATAGAGAGAAAGAGATAGAGAAAGAGAGAGAGAGAGGGAGAGAGAGAGAGAGTAAGGGAAAGAGAAAGGGAGAGAGAGAGAGAGAGAGTAAGGGAAAGAGAAAGGGAGAGAGGAAGGGAGAGAGAGAAAGAGAGAGAAAGGGAAACGGTGACCGAGCAGCCCCGCAACCCGTATAACTCCGATAACGGGCGAGCGAGCACCATAAACCCTCGGTCTTTCACTCCTAAAAATACCCCCGTGCACATATTCCCGCCTAGTCTTAGAATTCCATGCGACGCTAATACTTCCTTTTCTGCTTGTTCTTCCCGAGGCAACGCGTAAGAAAGAATCACCGAAGGAATCTATCGGCGGTCGTTGATGTCAGTCGTGAATAAGCTTTGCCATCGTATGATGTTAGTTTGAGAGGGAAAGGAAAATAAGGAATATGTTATAGTAAAAGAAAAAAAGCATTTCTGGGTAGGTGTTTAATAATTAAACGATGTCCCCATCGAGATCGAGAAAAGTAATTACATAGCTCATGGAGGAAGAACATTGACTATATCGTAAGATCGATAACCCCGTAGAACTCGACTACATAAATTCTCCTTCTCAAATATATACAGAAGTATCGAACGAACGATCGACCGAAGAACATTTAGGGAAACTAATGACAAAAAGCAGCATAATTATTTGGAACGTCCGCTGACCCGAACAAGCCACTATATTCACCCCTTCCTGGACGATACATCGGCTTATCTTGCATGTATATATACAGCAGAGGTAGGCGCAGTGGTCATGTAAGAGAGATTTCTCGTAAAGGTAAGGACAGGTTGCAAAATCCATTATTAAGTCGCACGGAGTTCGCATCGTCATCCGGGACTCCCGCAATAAACGTTGAGAACCAAGACGCGAAGAGCCTTTCAGCCTTAAACAACGAAGAAAGTGAGGGTCATGGAAAATCAGATGAAAATATTATCACGAAGGAAGGGATACTGATAATTTCATCGATCTAAAAAACAATAATTTCACAAACATTCACAATCCTCGAAGCTCCATCCGTTTCAACCGGTTAGAAATATAGAAATAATAACATCCTCGTATAGATAATTAGTTGTTGAAAATCTCTTTCGTTTCGTCGTCCGTCAAAAGAGAAAAAAAAAAGGGAAAAAGGAAATATCGTATAAAAGAGTTCGTAAATAGGAAATAACGGATAAATGCCAAGGGTAAATTCTTGGGAAAGCGACGAAAGGGTTAAGCGCCATTCGAAAGAAAAATATTGGAGGGGTGATGGTGAGGGTGAGGAGCGAGGGGATGCGTGGAAGGCAGGGAGAATGGGCGGAGCGCTTCGCAAAGGAGTTTGCATACTCGATGAGCACTCGAGGTGGAGGCGGTGATGCGGTTTGCATACTGTTACGGTGGAGCCTCGCGATGCAGCTTCTCGATTGGTCCAGAACGGTCTCTCCGCATCTCCCTACCGCTCGCGCGACGCGCTCTCTTTCTCTCCCACTCCCTCGTTCTTCGCGGCCCCTCTCGCGGTCCCCTCCCGAGCCGCGTTCTTTCGCGGCCTCGGAGGCTGCGCGGAAGGAAGGATCGAAGCAAGTCGAGCGACGATCGACGCTCTTTCTCCACTCTCTCTCTCTCTCTCTCTCTCTCTCTCTCTCTCTCTCTCTCTCTCTCTCTTTCTCTCTGTCTTTCTTTCTGTTTTTCACGACTCAGCGTGACGAATATGAACAAACCGATGAAAACGTGATTCGCGACTTTATCATATAACTAGAAGACTGCACGATGATTAACATTTGCCGTTAGACACTATTTATTTTTCATTGACAGGATTAACTAGCCGACAATGCAAACGTGTTCTTGTAACTTACTAACGATTATACGACATTTTATCGACACGTTTGTGCCGATAATTCTCTAAGGAATCTTGAAAAAACGAAAGGGAAAGGAATAACTTTCGCGAATCAGTTGGGACAGTGCCGACAGGATAAAACGTCTCATCGAAAGGAGCTGAGAAAAGTAGAAGGCGGGATAGGTAAATACGAAATCGATGATAAACCGGCCGTACCGTAGGCGGGCTTCGTGGTAGGGATAGAACGACACCTCCTTACAGCCGGAATAGCTCGTAGTATATACAGCGACCTATCGTAGCTCGTACAGGTTCTCAAGCTACTTTTTGCTTCCCACGGTTCTGCTCCTTGTCGTTGCAGCTTCTGCGGCCGAGTGCAGGCGTGCATTCCACGAGACAAATACACCGACTATTCGCTCAACGCTCGCTCTTATGTGCCATTTACTGTTCTCGGATTTAAGGCGACTCAAGTATCTCCGAGAGTTCCACCCTCCTCCTCTCTATATCTTTGAACATAGTTTCTATATTACGAAAACGCGATAACGACTCGGATAATTGCGATTCTTTCTTATTCTTATTCGTCTTATCGTTCGATAATCTCCTTTACATATACAAAATATCCTGCCAATTAACCGTATCTTCTCTTCATAAGATATAAACCCTTGAGACTTGCTCAGTAATTTCCTCTAAGATCTTAACGAACGAAGGGCATAAGTTAACCGTAATTAGTGTTAACGACCTTGATCTATGGATCGAAATTATGTTAATTTATCAATTACGGCACGTTGATCGTTTCGCGAAAAGATCGTCGACTAATTTGTTCTTAGCAGAGCACACTTTTCTTTCTCTCTCTCTCTCTCTCTTTTTCTCTCTCTCTCTCTCTCTCTCTCTCTCTCTCTCTCTCTCTCTCTCTTGCTCTTTTGAGCAACCTTTTTCTGTCTCGAATTATATAATTAAAATTATATAATTAAAAGTAAAAGTAATTGTCAAAATGTAAATCATTAATCCTACACATTGATATTACAAAAGAAACAAAAACAATAAGAATCTTTCGTCGATTGTCCTTAAAAGATCCTTTTCAAATTTGCATCTCTCTCTCTTTCTTTCTCTCTCTCTCTCTCTCTCTCTCTCGCGTCCTATCGATCTCGCGATACGTATCTTCGTTTCGTCGAACGAAAGGTACCTAAATTACGATCGATCGATGCATTTATTCTCAAGGGTCAACGACCCTGGGTGCTCCTCCGAACGACTAAGTTCGCGACGAAGAAGATCGAATAAAAAAGTCGTGATCGAGCGCGCGTGCGTGCACATTTTTCCACGTGTATGCGGATACAGAGGATACCGTAGAAAGAAAGGAAGAGATAAGAGTGATGCGAGAGGAAGCTAAGAAAGAGAAAGAGCGATAGAAAGAGCGAGAGAGAAAGGGGGAAGACAAGAAAACCTTCAAGAAGTCGTCGCAAGGAAGATCTCTCGGTGGTGGCAACGATACTACCAAAGAGAAAGAAATATATATATATATATATATATATATATATATATATAGAGAGAGAGAGAGAGAGAGAGAGATGAAGGGAGGGAGAGAGAGAGAAAGAGGAGGAACGATGGGGAATGGTTAAGCGAAAAAAGGATCGACTCTCCGGGCCCCTTTGCCTTACAATTAGGAAGGGCCACGGGCCCCGAGTCTACGGGACATATTAAATAATTTATAATTGTTTTGCCTTGCTCAGCGATACACGTCGGCGTGGTCGTTTACACAGCAACGTACAGCGAAACTTTTTTGCTAGCTATCTTTCTTCACAAGTGAGAGAGAGAGAGAGAGAGAAAGAGTGAGAGAGAGAGAGAGAAAGAGAGAGGGAAAGAAAAAAAGAGAAAGAGAGACTCTTGACAATGATGGATAGTCCGATTCGCGATTATGAAGTCGCGATTCCAGCTTGTACCTACCGATACTCTTATCGCGTGTCGAAAGATCCTCTTTGTAATTCCGTGTATTAACTCGACAGGAAAAATCCGAATTCTGTTGTTTCCAAATGTAGGTCAATTATTTTCAAGGTCGAATCGATATGTAAGATGTTACAGAGAGACAACTAATTATCAGTGAAATCTGAAAATAATATAAGATTAAATCGTACAGTTAATCAGCATTTCACATAGAGATTCTCATAAAGATTATCGAAGAGATAAGTCGATTTTCATTACGAAGATTCACAAACGACGAAGATACCAAGATTCCAAACGAAACGCGAAAGTTCTTTCTCGGATGGACGCGCGAAATAAGACTCAAGAGATGGACACGAAAAGAGTCTCGCTTTTTTCGCGCTGACACAGCGCGGCGTCGATCTATTTATTTAACCGCCACGTACGGCGCGCATCCGGAGGCGAGACCAACTAAAATTCCGGCGGCGTGTTCATCCATACATATCGATGAGGAGCTCCCGCGTACGAGACTACGGTGTCGGTGTACAAGCTATAAAGGATGTGCCCCGTACGACGCGACGCGGCCCGACGGCGCAAGAAGGACGAGGGGAATCGCGAGGACAACGGTCGCAGCGTACCATCAAGGATGACGTATGGCCCGATCCTCTTCCTCTTAACTTCTTCGCTTCCCTATGCAAGAAATTGACTGGTGAGTCTAATCAAAATCAATTCAATTATCAAAAATACTTTTTCACTTTTTTCGGCATAACGATTAATCTGTAATAAAATTATTCGACATTTTCATATCTTTCCTGTTATCAACTCTGATTCGTTTTCATTTCGATAAAATAAACGAGGTTGATGTGATTTAAAAAAAAAAAAATAAATAAATCGGAATTTTTATAGATACTTTACTTTACACCGGAGTAACTCGTAAAATTATGCAGAGGTCTCTTCGAGAGCCAAGGAAGACAGCTGACAACCAGGTTTAACCTCGCTGTCGTCTCTCGTTTATGACAAAAAGAGAGAAGGAATCCGGCAATATGGCGCTGGTGGGTTATTAAAGATGGCAGAGCTACGTGGCCTCGGAGGGACGCAACTCTCGCGTCGCTTTCTTGTCGCAGCGAGAGCGTTGCTTACGCCATATCTGAATGCGAGAGAGGAGATCGAACGGTCGTTGTCTGTCGAAAAGGAAGGACAAAGCTACTCGCGGATAAATTACTTGTCTTCTCTCCTTCTTCTTCTTCTTCTTCTTTTTCCCTTTTCGAGCGACTCGTAAACGTGCGAGAACGATCTTCCCCTGACGAACTTGCGACGCCTTCGTTTTCGCGCCTTTGCGGACGACCGATAAAGGAGTGCAAAAGAGGATGAAGCGAAGGAAGAAAAGGAGAAGGAGAAGTAGGAAGAAGGAGAAAGAAAAGAGAGGGTGGCATCCGAGTGCCGGCCTCGTGCTTGGCGTGCCAGCCAAAGTCTGCTCGGCAGAAACGCATGCACGTCCGACGTCCGACGTCCAAAGTCCGATGTATATAATTTATGAAGTATCTGCATTCCTCGCAATGATAAATCAAGCCGCCACCCCGCTAGGAACAGCGAGCATTTGAGGCGCTCGATGGCCATCTCGGAAAGCGTTCGCGCGATTCGCACGTAATTCTTACGAATTTAGAAGCACTCTAGACTATTCGCCGGACAAAGATTATACTTGGTTGAAAATTCAACTATACTGCTGTTTCAGCGATGTCAGCAATCTACTTGATTTAACGCATTTCTCAAATGTAAAATGATCAAGTACCGTTCGATATGGTAGATGAATTTGTATGATAGTAGTTACGAAGTATCATCATCTATCCTTTCGATCTTTCTTTTATGTCTCCTTCTTATCGCTTGAAATAGTTGAACGAACGTAATAGCTTCAATCGTTCCATAAATACCTGCCTGCTACTTATTTGTCTGGGTTTGCGTCGTGAAAGGTCTATTTAGGTCGCATGAACTGACGATGTTTACGTAATGAACCCGGATACTATAGTAGAGTCATCTAATCAAACCCTCTAATCGCGAAACACCGAGCAAATATGAGTCGAATCGCCGCGAATCGATCTACGAGATTGACCGGCAGCTAGTGTAAGGCTCTGTACCAGTGAAAATCGAAGAGAACTGTGTCGAATTGATCGGATAGGCTCGATCGAAGGAGGATAACTCGCGCATCGATTAATAAAAGGGTCGATTCGAAGAGGGCGCATTCCCCGTTGTCGTGGAAGGAACGAGAGGAGCGCGCAATGGCGGATCGGTATAATTGAGCTACAAATTCCAAGGTGATCAAGCGGCCGTGCCGCTCCGCTCATACGAAATCGGAGTCGAATGGCGGCGAGCAGTCCGGTAACAATCGTCTCGGCGAGCTCTCGGACTTTAAGCCGGGAATACTGTCGAGCAGCCGATTCAAACGAACCGCCGTTTCAACATTCTTCGAGAGCAAAAAGCGTGCGCATGCGTGCTCACGTACGGACAGGCAACGCGGCGCAGCAACGTGCGCTTGATATGCATTCGTACATTTAATAATTTTCGGGAAGGATTTTCTTTTTTTCTTTTTTCATTTTCTTTTATATATGTACATATATAGATATAAATACGTATATGTTTCATATCGACAAATTGAAATGTGTGTAGGCACGACACGACAATTGACATATGTCGAATAGATCAATAGAGATTGAATTTTCAATGAAATAACGAAGTTGAGAATGAAAAAAGGACGAAAGTATATAGGTAAGAAAAAAAAAGAATAAAAAGAAGAAAAACAAAGAGAAGAAAAAAAGACGAAGAAACAACAGAAGGGGGTAAAAGAGGTGCGTTGCGACCCGATACGGGCATTTCTGCCGCGACAGAATCAAAGAGTTCTCGTGAAAATACCAAGCATAGCGACGAATCCGTCGCACGGACCAAGTCGTCCTGCCAGCCTTAGATCGAGCGCGAGCTCGCGAGGAGGACGCGACGCGAGTCCACTCGATACGATTCTTTTTACGGGCGCACCCAACGCGCAAGAAACTGTCCTTCGGCAGTGACACTCACCTCTGTGTCCACCTCGCCATTCAAATACAAACATGTTTCATCAAAACATTTATTTAAAAAGATTAAGACGAAAGACATGAAAGATGAAACACGAGAATTAAATGTTTCCGAGAAAGAATTTATTTCTAACAAACGTGGCTTGACAATTAACGTAAGATTATTCAAAAAATAACATTAAGATGATAATAACCAAGAATCACATTCGTGATTGTCGTGAACCCGTCTACAAAACTTTGCCATTGGTTGATTCGTTCTACTGAAAATTACGTGTCGGTATGCATACCGCGTTGATCGCGCGAGGAATGAAAGGTACATTTTGTTATATCAAATACCTAGAGTCCGGAGACATTTGGAAGCACATGGAAAACACGTTCTTGGAATAAATTTCAATCGAACGATCGGTCGATGAGGTCGCCGAGCCAACGAGAAGAGAAGTACAAAGAAATGCCGATTCTACTATTACGAAACAAACACTGACAGATAGATAGACAGTAAGAGAGAGAGAGAGAGAGAGAGAGAGAGAGAGAGAGAGAGAGAGAGAGAGAGAGAGAAAGAAAAGTTTTCTTGTGATAAATAAACTATAATATTAAATGATTTACGGTATAAAAGATAATTCTGTGCGATTTATACGATTCGTAGAATTAACCGTACCAACTTCCTCGACTATTCGCGTATAACGTGTATATGTATGTAAGAAACGCAACAATGTAAGGATATATCGTTAGGGAGTAATCATATCGTTCGAATTGCGTATTTTTAATTAACGATAATAAATCGCGTTTTCGCTTTGGACTTCGCATCGCAAACAACTTCCCGTCGTGGAAACGAAACTTCGCACGATTCGAGTTGCTACGCTCTCGGAGTTTGCTATTCTCTCAACGAGTTGCACGCGCATGCATTCTAAGATCGAATTACGCAAATGCATCGTTACTTTCCCTTGTCCTGGTCCGCGGCCTGTTTGCTTCTTGTTCTCTGCGGAACACCCGGCGGCAAGCTTAGTGTCTCTTCCTTTCCGAACACGTACCGAAACACATAGTGTCACGACTCGCCTATCGAATCGTCGTCTATACGACCGCCGTCTATCTAACGACAGCGAGGGAGAGCGTATGACGGGGATAAGACAGCGTGGCAACCTGAGAATGGCAATAAGAGTGTTTTAATGAGAAACGTTTTCTTACCTTGTAAAACGCGATGAGGACTCTCTCTCTCTCTCTCTCTCTCTCTTTCTCTCTCTTTCTCCTTCTTTCTTTCGTTCTTTCTTTCTTTCCTTTTTTCCCCTTTCTAATTAGAGATCCAAAGTGTTGTTCGAGTAGAACATTATTTGCAGTCAAAGAAAGAAACTCAGACGTACGTAAGTATAATAAATTATTCTCTTAGTCAAGATCATTAAATTGAATATAGTTAAATTTGTGGGAAACGAGAGTCAAAGACAAGACAACGTGTAGCTTTTCGAAGCGAAAGGATGAACTGAAAAGAAGGAATACAGACGTAAAGAGTGAAACAAGAGAAGAAGTTGACGCGACATCCTTCGGCCGGGGGAAGCTTCGTTCGCTATTAAAAGCCACGATCTTGTCCAGAGAATCCTCATGCGAACCACTGACGATGGAGGCCACTCTTGTTTGCGCGTATTTATGCGTGCCACCTAACGTTTCTCTTTCTTCAGATACAAAGGGAAGAGGGTTCGAAAGAGAAAGCGAGATAGTCGAATCGTTCGCACGCGAATCTAGTTGCGAGTTTCTCTGTCTCTCTCTCTCTCTTTCTTGTTTTTAAAGAACGAGGAGGGAAAGAAGAAGCGACACTCGCGAAGAAGGGAGGAGGAGGAGGAGGAGGAGGAGGAAGAGAAGAAGGAAGAGGAAGAGGAGGAGGAAGAGGAAGAAGAGGAGGAGGAGGAGGAGGAGGAGGAGGAGGAGGAGGAGGAAAAGGAAGGAGAAGAAGAAACAACGAAGAAGGAGAAAGAAGAGAAGAAGGGCAACGAGCCACGCACAGAAAGCCAGGTGCGAACGGAATGCAGTCCAATCCATTCGCGGAATCTGATCTTGCTTTAGTAAATCCCAGCCGTGGAAAAAGCAACGTGGAATAATGCGCGGCTCCCCTTAGGACGATCGACGATCGGCAAGGACCGAGCGACGACCGACGAAATTGTCGTCGGAAGCACCGCTTTTCGGGCTGATTTCTGATCTCCAGCGAACTGGTCCCTGGGCATCACCTCGAGGGACGCCTCAGTTGGTGGGAGAACTCAAGAAAAAGCTACGACTCGATCGGTTCAAGAACGAGAGAATGAAAGATAGAGAGAAAGAGAGAGAGAGATAGAGAGAGAGAGAGAGAGAGAGAGAGAGAGAAGCGATAATGCGATTCCGCTCCCGGGACGCAAGTTCGATGCATTTAGGTTCGGCCAGAAGATCGTTCTTCTTCGACTTTACACCCGGTTACAGATTTTTATCGATCGAACCCAACAACGATTGGCGTCAAAGCGAGGTCTGAATCACAGATCGGAGGAGTACGAGCGCGCGCGCGCGCGCGCGAACTCGAACGCAAACGTTCGAGCTCACTTACGATCCGACCGGACCAGCCGAGCAGTTCTCGAACGATATTATGCGTTCGGTAAGAAACGCGGAAAGCTCGTTTCAAGAGGAATCTTGAAGAAGG